ACATCACACCTATTTACAGGTTTAAATGAAATATTGGTTGGCTGCTTGTTATTTTCTTCCCTCATTTTTTTTTTTCATGTCTCTATTATTAAACACAATTACCGGCATACCCATTTTTAGACTGCATTCTAGCCCGGGCAATAAAGCAACACCCCAGTTCTCTCTCCCTCTCCCTCTTCCTCATTCTTCCTCTCCTTCATTTTTTTCTTTCTTTTTTTTTTATTCTTTCTCTTTCTTCCTTTCTCTCTAAAAAAAAGAAAAAAAAGATATAATCAGTAAAAGTATCATAGATCTTAATGTCTTTGTTCTTTCTTGACAAGTGTGGACAAGTGCTGATGCATTATGCTCCTTACCTCATCTGGGCTGCTTGAAAGTCCTGGGCTCCTACCTATATGACACGTGATGTACTTGACCCAATCGCTGACCACCAATGCCACGCCCTACCTTCCCTTTCCCCTGCTTTGTACTCAGTAAAAGTCAGAGTGTGTAGGCACTTGAGGCCACTGCCGGACTTCAAGCTTTGGTTGCAGTGGACCCTTGGGCCCAAACTCTCTTTCTCTCGATCTTGGTGTCTTGTGTCTTTATTTCCATAGTTTCTTGTCTCTGCACCAGTAGAAAGGGGCTCACAGGACCCCCGTAGGGCTGGACCCTACAGTGGAGAGCCGGTGAGAACAGAGCGTCAGGGGTGTCTGTGCTCAAGTTTCTGAGATCCCCTCCCTCACCTCTGGTCCCCACCATGCCTGTGTCCTGGTAGCTCAGGCTCCTTCCCCCACAGGGTGCAGTGGAGGTGGCAGCCTTGCCCTTTGGCCCCCTACAATCCTCTGGTCCCTCCCATCCTGCCGATGTTATTATAGGAGATAAGAAACCATTTAGGTAGACAGGGTAAAGAGAGTCCCTGGAAAAAAACTTTCCTTCTAACAAAAAGCAGCTCAGAGATTTCTCCCTTTCTAACCTCAAGTAGTTCAAAAAACCACTTCTCTTCTAACAAAGAGCGGCCGATAAAACACAGGTCAGCTGTAAACCATAGATCAGGCTGTAAAACAGATAAGCAACTCGGGCACAGAGGAGGAGCTTCCTGGGTAATGACGGAACTTCATATACATAAGATGGGCCCCGCAAAAACAGTGGGCCTCAATGAGCACATCGGGTCCGTTTCTTTTCTTTACTTTTCTTTCTCCCCCTCCTCCTCCCCTCCGCCCTCGATTCTCCCCCTTTCCCCCCTCCCTTCCCCTCTTCTCTCTTCTTTCTGATGGAGTTTCTCTCTAGTAGCCCAGGCTGCAGTGCAATGGCACATTCCCGGCTCACTGCAACCTCGGCCTCCCGGATTCAAGAGATTCTCCTGCCTCAGACTCCCAAGTAGTTAGGATTACAGGCGACCGCCACCACCACGCCCAGCTAATTTGTGTATTTTTAGTAGAGACGAGGTTTCGCCATTTTGGCTAGGCTGATCTCAGGCTCCTGACTTCAGGTGACCCACTCGCCTAGGCCTCCCAAAGTGCCGAGATGACAAATCTGAACCCCCGGGCCCGGCTTCTGTCCATTTCTTTAGGCACCCTGAGATAGGGAAGCCGGAAGCAGGCATGGGGTGGGGATGCCTGCAGCTGCGTGGGGGTGCCTGGAGAACAGGCACAGAAACTCTCCATCCACTTTTATCAAAGGCAGGTAAGCAGCTCAGAGCAGCACAAACTGAGCGCCTGCCTGCAGGATCAAAGAGTGGAGTGTGCGCCGCTGGAGACTCTGCCCTGTGCCGGTGGCACACCTGGTCCTAACCGGTTCTTCGGGGCCTATGGAGATAAGACACCCGCTCCTCACTAGCCCATTTATAAAAACTCTGACATTTTTACTACAACCTGGCAACCCGTTCGGGACCCCTCTCTGTGACAGGGAACTCCAATCTCTCTTGGTGGACGTGCGTCCCCGTGCGTAATTTCCTTGGCTGTGAGGCCAAGAACCTTGGCATTTATCACAGACAACGAGCTGTTTTACTGTCGTTACTTTCTGGCCCCGTTTCTGCCACTGTGTTTTCTCGGAGGGGAGGCGCCACCCCAGGGACGCGTCGGGGCCAGAAGCAGCCCTCGAGGGGAATTGAGAAGCCCCAGGCGGCCTGTCCTCCCCAGTGCCGGCTCCTGTTCCTCCGACCCGTTCCTGGAACTCACCGGCCCGCGCGGTCCAGGGACCGTCCCGCAGCAGAAGCAGAGCCGGGATGCAATGGATGAATGAACGTGGGGCCCTCAGCCATCGCTTTTGGGACCGGGACTTGGCGACGGAATGCAGAGGACGCCGGTGTTGACCGCGCCAGGGAAGCGTCTGAGGTTCCCGCTGAGCCGCCCGGGCTTTGGTCACCCGGTGGAGCCAAAGCGCGAGAAACTCCCTAAGGTTCCACTCCGCCTCTCTCCTGCTTCCCAGTCCCAGGGGATCATTTCCCTTCATTGTTCTGCAAATATTTCCTCCCACTCGGGCGCTGCCGCTTGCTTGCTCTCTTTCTTTCTTTCTTCTTTCTTTCTTTCTTTCTTTCTTTCTTTCTTTCTTTCTTTCTTTCTTTCTTTCTTTCTTTCTTTCTTTCTTTCTTTCTTTCTTTCTTTCTTTC